GGGGAGGGGTAGGTGGGCAGTTTCCCAGAAACGTCTAGAAAATTGGTTTTTGTCACTCTTGAGACTTGAATGGTCAAACAAATGGTAAAAATCGATGACTTTTCGAAATTTTCCATTTTCAGATGATTAGATAGAGCTCGTTGGGAACTTTCTTTTATTTCTGCGGAGACCTATGGAGCGCCAATGATTCTTACGATCATGCTTATTACTTTAATAATATTATTGACAAGTTCGTTTCTACCACTCATGTCACGGCACCAGTAAAATGCCAATCAGGATGAAAGGAGATACGAAACGCACTTCCGGCAATTCGTTGAGTCCGCTGGGTGCCCAGAACAAGGATATCGACGCTTCTTCGCAGACGTTACTAGAGATGGTAAGCATCACGTTTATGTCAAATTAACGGCAAAAAGCGAATTTGTACCACGTGACCAAGTTTTCTCCTTACTTGTCGTTTACTGTTCATTAGTTTCTACAACTAAATTAGTAGTTTCACGCAATTTTTTTATGTATAAAAATTGCTTTGACCTGTTTCTATTTTGAGAAATTCTCACCTTGGATCTGAGGTTTGCCGTTTGTCGTATACGTGAAGTAAGGGTGCATTTTTGGGGAGAAATCCAAAAACGGATTTTGCGTTTTTTTGGGTAAATCCAAAAAACGGATCATGAATCCATAAAACCTACACTCAAGTGGATTCTTCAGATCAAATCCAAATCCGAGCGTTTTTTGGGGAAAGGATTTGAAGAAAGTATTTTTGACAAGCGGTTTTTCGAAAAAAGAATGGTGCGAAACAGATGCCGTACATGTATGACATTCTAACTGAACCTATGTTGGTGACGCCTTATTAATTATGAGCCATTAGTTACATATCATTCCATAATTGTCATCTATTCAAATTATTAGTAGAGTGTGTTTACACCCTTACTTGTCATGTTTTTTGCACGTATGCGAGTGTCTGCTTACGCCGGTTTATTTTCCAAGTGATTAAGAAAAAAACAATTCATCGGCTTCAGTTTTAAATTCTTATATTTTTACTATCCTAAGGAGTGTGTTATATTCGAGAAACGTTTGTGTTTCAAACCGAAATATATACATTTCGTTTATTCATTCGTAGCTTATGTTACTTTTTCTTCTTCTTGTCTTTGCCGTTTGGATCAGTTTGTTGTTTTTTTTTTTCCACGAGGAGCACGAGGACATACCGTTGTCTTGGTAAATGATACTTTTTCGGATCTTCCGTTCTTTTGGTAGTGAAGAATACGAAAGATCTGAGATCACAAATCCGCTTTTGGATTCTTCCAAAAAAACACACCCTTAAACTCTCTACTAACCGAGGTTGCATTACGTCTGCTTTGCAGGCTACAGCAACACTTGGCTGGATTTTATTGAAGGCGTGTTTCTTTAAAGATTAAAGCTAAAGACTAGAAGTCCTGGCTCTAATAATACTTAAGCTACGACAAAAAAACGAACTAGAATTACGGGCAAATACTAAAATAAAGATGTATGACCCAAATGTTCCTCTTAAAAGATCAGTACAACTTCACCAGTTTTACTACACTAGAAAGTTGGTTTCAAACATAGCACCGGTATACCGGTATCTAACACTTAAGGTGACTCGAGAGAGAGTTGTCTATTGTTTCTAGTCTGTCATTATACAGCATTCTTGTTCAGCACGCGTGAAATGACCACGCTTGGCTGACTTCCGAATGCTCACCGAGATATTCCCGTCACGACTTGGTTTAATTATTGGCTTGCATTAAACCTATGGAAAAATGATATTTTTTTAACAGTAAGTTGATTAATGTGTAGCACTTCTTGATTTTTTTGCAAAGGCACAAGAAGCACGAGAATATTGATTAAAAATTGTGACTTAAACCTCTATGTATCACGCGATGGCCTGTCTCACTGTACCAAAATTATTATACCTCGGTGAGCATTCGGAAGTCAGCCAAGCGCGGTCTTTGCACGCGTGCTGAACAAGAATGCTGTATAATGACAGACTAGAAACAATAGACAACTCCCAAAGCACAAACTCAGCCAAAACGCTAAAAATCTTCAATGTTTACTCAAGTTTGGGCTTATAGAAGATAATGTCACAGTTTTTCAATGACCATGAAATTCAGAGTCCGGGTAGTTAGTTAATCAATTGTGGCCCTGAAAAAATTTGAAGGAAAAAAAACTACGAATTTTTAAGAAAATGCTTTTTTCGTGAGAAGGACTCTTAAACGCTGACAAACGTCAACAAATAGCGAAAACTATAATTTCTATATGTTTGCTTTGCTCGAAATCGCGCGCATTTACAAGGCCCTAAAGCGTTTTGCTGACTTGCAAGGACCCATCTGTTATAACGATGCCCAAAATAAAGAGATGAATCTCATAGTTTATTAGATATAATCCGTGTAAAGTTTGCTTATCATTTTCGCATAAATTATGACCTAAATTTGGAAACCGCTGAATTTCTCGAATTGGGTCTTTGCGATTTTGGTGAAACTCTGTTCAGCGCAAGGCACTAATGCGCACTATGTGTAGCCGAGAGATTTTCACGAAAAAATGCCGGCAACAGCAGATTTTCGACTCAGACCTCAAAGGGGCGTGGCATTATAACCACGTGACATTTACTCCGATCGCCAAAAATTTTATGTTATATTGTAGATTGATCTATATGTTATCCATTCTATTTGTTAGACTTACGATAAAAGTAAAGGTGGGGATACCAGAGAGCTTCAAAGTAGGGTGGTACCCCCCAAAAAAAACTGGGTCGAGTCACCTTAAGACACTCTTCTCGGTTAAAAAAGAGTCACTTAATAACCCTACTATACATTACCTGATCAAAACGTCTTATAAACAAAAGAGCGCCTGCATGTGTTTTAAGACAGATATAATAAATACATTAATTTGAATGTGATTTAATGTAATATAACGCCTTTGTTACCTAGTGCGATAAAAATATTTGCCAGAATTTTTTTTTTTCCTCAGGGGGGAGGGAGTACTTGGGTTAATTTTTGCTGGGTTAGTACCGCTGGCCTCTTAGAGCCTCTACCCCATTATAGCCTAGTCTGTGGCCAATTAGAGACCCCATCTTAGTCACTTTTGGGAAAATATGTAATTTTCGCGATCCCTACTTAGTCACTTTCTATTTATGTATCTACCTTATATTGAATGAAGAACAGTTTACTTACCTACAGTACAAAAATTCTGATACGTTTGCTAACTGAAATTTGAAGAAAAATCAGAAAATGTGCGACCCCGTTCTAGTAACTCTATTGAAAATGCGACCCCACTATAGTCAATCCAGCCGTGAAAATGCGACCCCATAAAGCGGCAAATCCCCATTAGCCCCTTATAAGGAAGTAACCCCCGCCGGGATTTTTGGAGTATGGTAACTTTTGGAAAGATTACTTCACTTTCATTGCAGATCTCTAATCAAAGGATGGTGGATTTTCTGTTGATTTAAGGGACTACACGCCTAGATTACTGCGTTTTTTAAAAACACGCCAACTCTAAAGTTCAAAAGCCAACTGACGTTTGCGTTTTTCGTTGCCGTCAATCATCTTAGCGCACCTCTTAGGAAACAGAACTTTACTTAAACGGGTTCAAAAGGACATGGTTTGTGATCTGTGATCGGTGGATTTCTATCCGTTTTGTGCGCTTCTGTGTTTCAAGGTTCGCTGCTTGTGATCCTAATACGCCATTTGCACTAAGAGGTCATGTGACATCGTTTTTATGAAAATGAAAGTTATATGATTTTGCCTTCAAAAAATGATTACTGGGTCATATCCTAAACAAAATAAAAGTGGTTCGGTTTCTCAAACCTGCACTATTGTCTTAAAATGAGTAAGTTCGTAGCTGGTCACGTGACCAAAATGTGATTATGAAAATTACGAATTACTTCTTTCTGAACACAACTTTTGCACTTAAACTTCAAGAAAATTGTTAAAAAAATGATGTGGTAACGTTTACAGCACATCTGAACGTAACTATCAAAAGTTTAACAAGATGTAAGCAAAAAGTAGTTTTGGCCACCATGTTGGAGGGCAAGAGTATGCCTTCCAACATGGCGGCCAATGCAAATCATACCACTTTGTTGAAAAATCAAAGTGCCATAAAATATCTCCCTTAAATGCTTTTCCTCTCAGATTTCGGGTGTAAGATAATTTTATAGGGCTCTGTCAATTTTTGGCATCAGCAGATTCCAACTAATTGTTTAAGGGAAGTATTGGTCACGTGACCTCTTAGTGCAAGTGGCCTATTATGATTGACGGCAGCGAAAAACGTAATTGGGAAGTCGGATTTTGGACGTTCGCGTGTTTGTGAAAAGCGCAGTAAAGGAGCTACGTCACACTATATGATACCCTTTAAAAAAGCCAAAACTTGTCTTCGTATCATCTGAATTCCAAACGTAATGGTCCAGTTTTGCTACTTAAGACTATATGTGTAGGCATTGAAACTGTTTCAGTCTTTTGTTAGTACCGATGGCAAACATGAACATAGATTGAAACTTGAAAGCATTTGAGCCAGTTTTTCCAACTTTCATCCCTACAATCACCAAAATTATTATGGTTAGTTATCCTGATGAATTTGACGGACACGTTGTTCATAACTCTACAGTAGCATTTCGTGTTTGGCGGGTAAAGATACTAAACAATAACTTCAGCCAGGAGCCCATAATCCGGAGCAAGCAACTTCCATGCGCTCGTGTCACGGCGTTTTCACGGACCAGTTTATTTTTAGAACGGTTTTGGCGCGAATTTTGAATATCCTTTAAATTCCACAAACCAGTCAGCAAAAGCTACAGACATAAAAATTACTGGTGCGTAAAAATACCGTAAAATAGGCCTAGTATGGGAGTTGCTCGCTCCTGCTTATGGGCTCCTGGTTCAGCACAGCGTTGATAGGCCTAAAACAGCATTATCCTCGCCTCTTTGCGAAATTTCTTGCTGTTCGCATTTGCAGGATTTTTAAAAACAGGAGGAGTACGGTCTGCAGCAAAAGTAATATGGTGATTAGGTCACAAGCCTTAATGGTCTTCTTTCATCGTTCTGATCTCCATCGCACATGCTAAGACAGATCCACATAAATTTGCGCAAAAAGCGCCCAGCCACGATGATGAGGCGACTCAGCTGCGATAACACAGCCGCAACCACAAGAAGGCAAAATAGCGTAGGTACAGCAAAGAGAATAATAACTTGTAAAACTTGACAGCCATCCCACCAAGAACTCAAATAAGCGTCTGATGTTGCAGCCAAAGACAGAAAAGAGGCAAAAAACATGTTGAGAATTGCAAGAACGGTAAGAAATAGCAACGAAATTGTTTCCACCCGGTTGGCCAAACTGTCACGAAATGGTTGAATCATAGAGTGATGATGAAAGAACAAGACACAAAAGAAAATCATGACAAGAAGACGAGACATAGGATCGCTGACAAAAGCTTTCAACACAACCAAAATCAACCGGCGTCCGATCATAACACTTTCCCATCCTAAAGACAGTTTTCCGCCAACATCTGGTCTCTTGAAAGAGTCATAAAGAACTCTCTTTATAGAATTGACAGCGATGTTGATGGAGGGCGTGTCATCGTTTCCTGCATTGGTTGAAACCAGTGTTTCTTTGTTGTCTGCATGTTTTCTTCTTTCAATAAAAGAGATGAAAGCCCAATAAACCAAAGATGGTAAAGGAATAAAACAGGCCAATACCAATTTTTCCCCAGAAAGTGTTTGGTTGTACAATTTAAAACTGCCCCAAAACAAAACAAGCACGACAGGTACAACGAATGAGCAAACAAAAACAATCAACATGTACTGCCACCACTGAAAACACTCCACGTTTCCATCATAAAACATCCGCTTCTGTGAACCAATGGGAACACATCGTAGCAGGTCAAAACTGACAGAAGCAAGAGTTGTGTATCCAAGCAACATGGTTTGTAAAATACCGCCAATATAAGGACCAGCAAATGGTGCTTCTCGACCTCGAAACTTCTGAACTCCCCAGTGAACAACATAAATAATGCCAATCATCAGACATGCTCCAAACACGTGTGGAACAGAAAATAACTGCTTAGTTACCACAGTGATTCCAGGAAATGGACAAATCAATCCACCCGATGAAACTCTTAGTTGAAAATTGAAAAGTCCAACAAGAATTTCCTCAAACATTGTTTTAAAAATACGTAGTGACGTACTGGAGACGAGCAAAAGGTTTGCTGCCTGATAAAAGTAGAAAATAATCTTAAGATAACCTCTGTCAAACTCGTTCTCCTCGTCTGTTGTGTCGCGCGTTTTAAACCAGAGTACTTGACGTTTTATCCAGGGGACAATAGGAGGCTTAAACGTGAAATAAAAAGCCATGACCAACACATAAAGCAACGCAACAGGCCAAAACCAGTTATCATCACACTCTTGTGAGGGTCTGCAGTTTGTAGAAAAAAGTGTCTCTGAGAAACCGTCACTACACTTTCCACATAATTCACCAGAACGGTTACCCTGGCACAATTATATTTAGGGAAATCTTTTATGTGAGATGGGCGACAGTAACCCAGAGGACACATGGTAAACTTAAGCTTTGGCGGAGTAAGCTGTTCTTGAAAACCCCAAAAGTTTGGTTCAGCGATTATATTTTGAGAACAGTTTGCTCCAAACGGGCATGGAAGACACTGAAATCCTGGTACCACACGAGACCCAACAGCACGACCACGCTGTAGACTGTAGGAATTGCCTGCACAGGCTGAACAGCTAAACTGCCAAGTACTGAGCGAGTCTGACTCTTCTGTTATGTTGAGAATGTCCAGCCTGCTCCCAACGCGACAATTATAATTTGTTAAGTTGTTGGTTCCCAAGTCTATCAGCTTTCCATTTTTTATCAGTATGAAGGGGCCGGTACTTCCATAAGGTCTAACATCTACTGTGGTATTATATAACTTAAGAATTAAGATGTTTTCCGCTTCAAGAAACGAAGTATCTGTTAAAATAATCTTATGCCTTTTAAATTCATTCATTATCTGTCTAAAGAGGGTGTCTTGTATTGTTAAGCTTGCTAAACCAAAGACTGAGTGAATATGTCCACTTCGCAATCTAGCAAAGTTATCAATGAAAGAACAATTATAAAATGCTGCTTTTCCAACACCCAAATATATAGCACCGCCAAATGGTGCAGTATTTCTTTCAAAGACGGAGTCTTCGATGAAAAGGTGAGTATCTTCTTTGGAACCATCTTTTTTTTGTATTTTCGTATTATTCTTACTACATTCTTGAACCTGTAATACCTGTGTGTCCATACGAAGACGACGAAGACAGTCTTAGGGCTCCTCCACTCCCAGAAGAACAGTAATTGTTTTGGAAACGAGACATGTTAATAAAGATACTTACCGTTACGGTGTTACCTGTAACAATATTGACAGCACCAGCATTGTATGTGGCTGAGCAGTTGTTAAAAGTCGAGTTAATTATAGAGATGGAGAGGAAAACCGGCCCCGTTTGAATCAGAAATGCTCCCCCAGAGTAGCTTGCAGCAAAATTGTTCTCAAAAACAGAATTCATAACTTGAAGACTACGTACATCACCGATTATCCAAAACGCTCCACCATAACCTGCAAAGTTATTAGAAAATCGCGAGATTTGCACTTGAATACTACTGTCGTAGATAACGGCAGCACCTCCAAATTTTTCAGTAGCTCTGTTGTTTTCCATAATGACGTGCCTGAACACGAGGAAACTTGGAACATTCAGTGACAGCCATAAAGCACCACCTTGACGAGCATGATTGTCTAAAAACGTACACTGCTCTAAAGTCATTTGGCTGGTGTTCGCGTTCAAATCCTTTTCAGATTTTGAATTGTAAACGGCCCAGATAGCCCCACCTCCCAACGCGAATTCCATACCGTTAGAGATAAAAAGGCTTTTATTCAGGCTAATTTGCGTATTGGTGTCATAAATCAGGTACAATGCACCACCCTCTATATTAGCACTGCATCCTGTAAAATTGGAACTTTCAATTGTTAAGAGCAAACCAATATCTTTAGGATATACGCTCGGTAAATTCGATTTTGTTTCGATAGAAATTGCTCCACCATATCCAGCAGTGTATTCCGTAAAGGCAGACTGACTTAGTCGCAATGATGACTCTGAGGCACTAATAAACACCGCTCCCCCGCTTCCGTCATTTGTTGCTTTATTGCCGTAGAAAGTGCTATCCTCAATGCTTGCTTTAACATCATTGGAGGATTCTATATTGAAAGCTCCTCCTTGGGCTGCAGTTGTGTCAATAAATAATGACTTGGAGACTTTAAGCCTGCAAAGAAAAGAAGCAACCAGCGATGCAACTCCACCTCTTCCTTTGGAATTGTGACCAAAAAAACGCGAGTTGAAGATTTCAAATGAAATGTTTGACGTAGTCACATGGAATAAACGCGCATGTTCACTTCTTAAGTTACTGGAGTTGACCAAAAAATGTACATCATCAGTAGAGACAACGTATTCACCACCGAGGAAACCTCCCAGAGTATCTAAGACTGTTGACGATGGCGCGTTTTCGCTAATTGTCACGTTCTGAAGGTATATGTACTATCTGCCATTGTTAATATTTAGAAAGAAGAGTCCTGAACTGAAGTTGTTGTTGGAGAATATCACATTATCCGGTGTGACATTGCAGCTAACGGTCTGTATACTGGACTCAGGTTTGTAGAACGAGATACATCCGCCTCTGTCCATACAAAGATTGCCATCGAACGAGGAATTTGAAAGCTTGAATATTAATTGGATATTTGGGGATAAGCTCATTTCACTTTGGACAACTATTGAAATGCACCTACGGTTTCTAGAGAATGTCGAATTTGTAACCAGCATCTTCGAGAACGCACTGTAACGAATAACAATTTCCACGCTCTGATTATTACCTTGGAACTTACAACCATCGATATGAACAGAGGAATCTTGAACATATACAAGGCTTTCACTAAATAACAATCCTGATATAGTTATATTCATGTCCTCCGCGCTATCAGAGCCATTGAACACCAACCCTGTTTCTTCGAAACAACGTATCTGAGGCATGGGATTAGCAGAACCAATCAGTGATAGAGTCTTGTTGATGTATATTCCCGGATGCTGTGACGTTCCTGATTGACA